AAAAAAAAAAAAAAATTAGTCCAAAGCAATTTGTGATCCAATCAGAGGCATTTTCAAATTTAAATAACACTCTGAACTGAATTATGAGAAAGTTTCATCCAAGTAACAGTTTGTAATGATTATCACTGTATAATTTTTCTTTAGTTGCCCAGTGCCTTCAGAATCCCAAGGAAGATATTCATTTAGACTCCAAATTAAAATATAAATAGATCTATTAAATATGTGTTTTAAACTACTTTTACAAAAATAACAGTTAAACTATTTTTCTGAAAGCGTTAGCCCAAGAGGCTATCTTGGGAGCAAGGCAAACCGTCTGCGATACTCGGATATAATGATTAACATCATTTGAATTGCTACAAATCGCAAGGGGGACGTGTCCCTTTGATGTATTTTCAAACCTTTATGCAAGTGACAAATCCCTGCAGATATTTTAAAGGCTAATTATAAGGAGAAGTAATCTATGACAATATAATTTTCCAGTTGCTGAGAATTACTTTCTATTGGCCCTAATGAAAGCACACTCACTAGTCCTTCCCTTAGCTTGGACTAGAATGCTAGGAATCTGGCATTCAACAATATGCATTTGGCCCTCAGCCATTGATGGGTGGAAGAGAGAACACTTGGAGCCCCCGTTTTAGAAAGCAGACACCCCACTTGCATGCGTCAGACTCTCCCTTCAGCTGCATCCCTAGAAACGGATGTAGCCTCAACGGGCACCTCTGCCCCCTCCACCCTTGGAACAGAGAATAGGCTTGTGTTTCCTACAGTGAGGGCAGAGTGTTCTCTCTCTTTCTAAGAAAGATAAAAATTGAAGGCATAATTTAGGAGGACTATATTGCTAATACAATGAAGAAAGAAAATGTCTGTTGTCCGTATTTGCGCAATCCCAGATAAAAGGAAAGAGGAAGATTTTTGTTTGTTTGTTTAACTCTTGCCCCATGATAATAAAGAAAAGTATTTTTTAAAAGGTGTTCTAATGTTACTTTGTTCTATATGGCGCTGACAGTAAATGAAATCTAATATTGTTAAGAATTGACTGTGAGGTTTGGGGCTGCCTCCAATACAGACTGGATCTTCACAGAAAATACCCAGAGGGAAGAACCAAAACGCATTGCTACGGAAGCGCTTGCATTTTTGTGGGAGATAATTTGACAATTTATTGTGTGTAACTCCTGATCAATTATTAATCGTTAGTGTCAACAACAGGGTTATAATTACCTTGGGTTATTTTAGGGAATATTCGTTTTGTTTTTTTCATTTCTGTGATCTGGTAATTACTTAATGCTCTTGAGTAATAAATTCAAAGAAAAGCTCATAAGACCCACCCCTGCCCTTCCCCTCCCTTTTGGTGACCTTCAAGGAGAAATACATTCACCCCATGATTCTCAGAAATTCTCTCCTTGACTCTATTCTAACCGTGTATTTTTTTTTCCTACTATAAATAACGATTCCAGAGGAAAAGGGGAAAATGGCAAACAAATAGAGCACAGCTGGAATTAATAAGGCTGATCAAAGTTAGTGGGGCTGAGGCTGCTGGCAGCAGTCACGGGTCTGAGGCCCAGAAAGATGCCAGCAGTTCTCTCCTCTTCCCTCTAAGATCAAGAAAAAGGGCAAATCCAACAGCTTAACCCTTGACATCTTACTGGGGATAGGTGGGTTTGGGGGAGGCCTCTTGTTTTCAGGCCTTACTAATAGCTGCGACGCGGTCCTGCTCGGCTTGAGCCTAGGAAGGGCGCTGCGTGTTCGCCCAGGGCGGCTGCGGGTACCGCGTGCAGCTGGTTCTGCACCCCACCTCCCGCCCCAACGAGGTGGGCGGGACGCAGGTGCTCCTGGACCCTGAAAGGTTAGGAGGTGAGTGACTAGGTTAAGGCGGGGACAAGGCAGCGTCCTGGGGAGTCGGGGGCTGCCGGCCGGGTGCACAGTTAGCGCTGAGGGGGCCAGGCGGTCTCAGCTCTGAGAC